TTGTTCATTCTCCAAGTGATGTATTCTTTTCCCTTCCTTCTTTTATCATTGATTTTCAGTTCCATTCCATTATGATCAGATAGGATGCATGGTATTATCTCTACTCCTTTATATTGTCTAAGAGTTTCCCTGTGACATAATATATGATCTATTTTTGAGAAGGATCCATGTGCTGCTGAGAAAAAAGTGTAACTGCTTGATGTTGGGTGGTATATTCTATATATGTCAATTAAGTCTAGGTTATTAATTGTGTTATTGAGTTCTATAGTTTCCTTATTCAACTTTTGTTTGGAAGATCTGTCCAGTGGTGATAGAGGTGTGTTGAAGTCTCCCATGATTATTGTATGGTGGTCTATTAGACTCTTGAACTTGAGAAGAGTTTGTTTGATGAACATAGCTGCACCATTGTTTGGGGCATATATATTTATGATTGTTATGTCTTGTTGGTGTATGGTTCCCTTAAGCAGTATGTAGTGTCCCTCTTTATCCCTTTTGATTAACTTTGGCTTGAAATCTATTTTATTTGATATGAGTATGGATACTCCTGCTTGTTTCCGAAGTCCATATGAGTGATATGATTTTTCCCAACCTTTCACCTTCAGCCTATGTATGTCTTTTCCTATCAAATGCGTCTCCTGTAGGCAGCATATTGTTGGGTCTTGTTTTGTGATCCATTCTACTAGCCTGTGTCTCTTGATTGGTGAGTTTAAGCCATTAACATTTAGGGTTATTATTGAGATATGGGTTGTTCTTCCAGCCATATTTGTTTATTTATGTTACTAAACATGGTTTGTTTTCCTCTTTGATTATTTTCCCCCCTTTAGTGTCCTACCTCCCACTGTTGGTTTTCATTGTTATTTTCCATTTCCTCTTCCTGTAATGTTTTGCCAAGGATGTTTTGAAGAGATGGTTTTCTAGCTGCAAATTCTTTTAACTTTTGTTTATCGTGGAAGGTTTTAATTTCATCTTCCATCCTGAAGCTTAATTTCGCTGGAAACACAATTCTTGGTTGGAACCCATTTTCTTTCAGTGTTTGAAATATGTTATTCCAGGATCTTCTAGCTTTCAGAGTCTGTGTTGAAAGATCAGCTGTTATCCTGATTGGCTTACCCCTAAATGTGATCTGCTTCCTTTCTCTTGTAGCTTTTAAAATTCTCTCCTTATTCTGTATGTTGGGCATCTTCATTATAATGTGTCTAGGTGTGGGTCTCTTATGATTTTGCACATTCGGCGTCCTGTAGGCTTCTAGGATTTGGGGTTCTGTCTCATTCTTCAAGTCTGGGAAGTTTTCTCGTATTATTTCATTGAATAGATTGCTCATTCCTTTGGTTTGAAACTCTGTCCCTTCCTGTATCCCAATGACTCTTAAATTTGGTCTCTTGATGTTATCCCATATTTCTTGGATGTTCTGCTCATGGTTTCTTAACAGTCTTGCTGAGCTGTCTATGTTCTTTTCAAGTTGAAATACTTTATCTTCATTGTCTGATGTTCTGTCTTCTAAGTGTTCTACTCTGCTGGTAGTATTCTCAATTGAGTTTTTAAGTTGGCTTATTGCTTCCTGCATTTCTAGGATTTCTGTTTGTTTGTTTTTTATAACCTCTATTTCCCTGTATAGTTGATCTTTTGCTTCTTGGATTTGTTTATGTAATTCATTGTTGAAGTGATCTTTCATTGTCTGATTTTGCTGTCTGATGTCTTCCTTGAGACTCCAGATCATCTGAAGCATGTATATCCTGAATTCTTTATCTGACATTCCATCTGCTGCAGCTGTTACCTCTTCTAACGTTGAGTTGACCTGCAATGCTTGTGGTCCTTTCTTTCCTTGTCTCTTCATACTGTTCGCGTTCCTTTCTACTTGGTGAAACTGTTGTGCTATTGAATTTTCCCCTTATATATTTATATTGGTCTTGTATAGTTGCAAAGTCTCCCTCGCAGGCGCGGGCGGCGGCTCTGTCCCTCTGCGGGCCGCTAGGCTTGTTCTGTCGGTGGTCACAGTTCTGTCTACTCTGCAGGCGCAGGCAGCGGCACTGCCCCTCTGCAGGCCTCTGGGGCTGTACTGCCAATGCGTCGCAGGTGCGCCTACCTTGCAGGCGCGGGGGGGGGGGAGCGGCTCTACCCTTCCTCAGGCCACTGGGCCTGTTCTGTCTCTTGGTTGCAGGTCTGGCCTGCTCTGATGGTGGTCACAGTTCCGTCTACCTTGCAGGCGCTGGGGGGAGGGGGCGGCTCTGCCTCTCAGCAGGTCGCTGCTCCTCTTCTGCCGGTGGGTTGCAGGCCCGCCTACCTTGCAGGAGTGATTGGAAGCTCTGTCCCGCCGCGGGCCACTGGGCCTTTTCTGTCGGTGGTCACAGTTCCCCTACCTGGCAGACGCGGGGGGTGTGAGGCGGCTCTGCCCCTCAGCAGGCCGCTGGGCCTGCTCCATGCATGGTCACAGTTCCCTCTACTTTGCCGGCGCAGGGGGAGGGGGCGGCTCAGCCTCTCAGCAGGCCGCTGCTCCTCTTCTGCCGGTGGGTCGCAGGCCCGCCTACCTTGCAGGAGTGATTGGAAGCTCTGTCGCGCCGCGGGCCACTGGGCCTTTTCTGTCGGTGGTCACCGTTCCACCTACCTGGGAGGCGCGGGGGGTGGGGGGCGGCTCTGCCCCTCAGCAGGCCGCTGGGCCTGCTCTGTGCGTGGTCACAGTTCCCTCTACCTTGCCGGCGCAGGGGGAGGGGGCGGCTCAGCCTCTCAGCAGGCCGCTGCTCCTCTTCTGCCGGTGGGTCGCAGGCCCACCTACCTTGCAGGAGTGATTGGAAGCTCTGTCCCACCGCGGGCCACTGGGCCTTTTCTCTCGGTGGTCACCGTTCCACCTACCTGGGAGGCGCGGGGGGTGGGGGGCGGCTCTGCCCCTCAGCAGGCCGCTGGGCCTGCTCTGTGCGTGGTCACAGTTCCCTCTACCTTGCCGGCGCAGAGGGAGGGGGCGGCTCAGCCTCTCAGCAGGCCGCTGCTCCTCTTCTGCCGGTGGGTCGCAGGCCCGCCTACCTTGCAGGAGTGATTGGAAGCTCTGTCCCGCCGCGGGCCCCTGGGCCTTTTCTGTCCGTGGTCACAGTTCCACCTACCTGGGAGGCGCGGGTGGTGGGGGGCAGCTCTGCCCCTCAGCAGGCCGCTGGGCCTGCTCTGTGCGTGGTCACAGTTCCCTCTACTTTGCCGGCGCAGGGGGAGGGGGCGGCTCAGCCTCTCAGCAGGACGCTGCTCCTATTCTGCCGGTGGGTCGTAGGCCCGCCTACCTTGCAGGAGTGATTGGAAGCTCTGTCCCACCGCGGGCCACTGGGCCTTTTCTGTTGTTGGTCACCTGGCAGGCGTGGGGGGTGGGGGGTGGCTCTGCCCCTCAGCAGGCCGCTGGGCCTGCTCTGTGCGTGGTCACAGTTCCCTCTACCTTGCCGGTGCAGGGGGAGGGGGCAGCTCTGCCTCTCAGCAGGTCGCTGCTCCTCTTCTGCCAGTGGGTCGCAGGCCCGCCTACCTTGCAGGAGTGATTGGAAGCTCTGTCCCACCGCGGGCCACTGGGCCTTTTCTGTCCGTGGTCACAGTTCCACCTACCTGGCAGGCGCGGGGGGTGGGGGTCGGTTCTGCCCCTCAGCAGGCCACTGGGCCTGCTCTGTGCGTGGTCACAGTTCCCTCTACCTTGCCGGTGCAGGGGGCCCAGCCATCTCTCTTAAGCATATAAATCTTAATACACAAATGGTTTTACAAAAGTGGGCTCATATACTATATTTAACAAATATAACAAATTAATTTCACCTGAATTTAACAGAATTAAAACAAATATAAAATTAAAGAAATTCTCAACTTAAATTTTCCCCCATAAGAGTTTAATTCTAAAAAAATCCTCCTAAAATTAAAGATAATTATGGAAAACATTGAAGAGGCTGGTGTAATTTTTTTCTAGCTTCATGTTTTAATTAGAGACTATATGGAAGTTCAGTATAAAAGATGAAACTAGAAAACTTGAGTTCCTTTACTTCTATTTATATTACTTCTACATAACAGACAATGAACAACCAAATCCCACTATTTATGAAATTCCTTTAAGTGTTGCCAAACTTCATATTACACAGGAATAATATATAATGGTTCTTAAAGGACTCACATTTTGAAACAAAAACTAAATAATGGTAGAGACACAGTAAAAAAGAACAGATACATGTTCAAGGCTAGTAATAAATGGTCAGTGCCTTAGTCCTTTGGACTTCTATTACATAATACCAACAGTTTGATGGCTTATGAACAGCGAAAATTTATTTCTTACAGTTCTAGAAACTGGGAAGTCTAAGATCAAGGTGCCAAGAGATTTGGTATCTGGTGAGGAACTGTTATCTGGTCTGTTTAAAATGTTTAATTCATTTAAATATTCTGCATAAAATCACAGCTATAAAATTATAGTTTAATTTAGAACTATTTCTTTTTGTCAATATTTAACAAAAAGAATTAAATACTTATCATACATCTTCAAAAAAACAAACTTTCATCATCATCTTTAAATTGTGAGTAAGAAAAACATGCAGTATTATCAAAATGATTTTGAATGTATTAAAATTAATTATTAATATAGTATTAGTTATGAACAAAATGGGACTGTTTAAGCTGTAAGTTCAATATATAAGAATGGTTTTATGAAGAACAATCAAATTTTTTCATAAAATATTTGTATCACTAATTGGACAGAATATCTGGATTATGGACCATTATTGAGGAAGTATTTGACAGTTTTATAATGTTATATAAACTGCTTAAGTATAATACCATTTTAAGTCCTACAAATCATATATTTACCTTTTACTTAAATTCTTACTGACAAATTAACGTCTGATTTAGCACATAAGAATGGTCATAAAACAGTCAAAGGACACCAATTTAAAAAAGAAAACAACAAACAAAACAAAAATAGAAAAAATACAGTTCTAAGGAAACTGAAACACTTTTTAGTACAAACACTGGTTACAATTAAACTTTAAATAAAAAAGACTTACCACATTTTCCTTGATCTTTCTCAGCTTTTCATCTATCTCTCTCAGTCGATTTTGCTGATCCCGTTCCTCTTTGTTTTTCTGCAGGACTCTTTCTCCTGGAGTTATTTCTGTATTTTTTTCATCATGAAGGTCATGTTCCTATTTTAAAAAATATAAAATAATTCACAGGTTGGTAATGCACAGCTGTCACAGACCCCTCCTCCTAAGCAACTGAGCCTTAAGGGTCAGTTGTGCTTTTTATTTGTACAAGGGGTTGAACCCAGAGGTGCTTAACCATTGAGCTAGATCTCCGGCCCTTTTTATATTTTATTTAGAAACAAGGTCTTACTAAGTTGCTTAGGGCCTCACTAAGTTGCTGAGGCTGGCTTTGAACTCTAGATTCTCCTGTTTCATCCTCCCCAGCCACTGTGATTTCAAGTGTCTGCCCCTGTACCCAGCCAGTTGTGCTTTTTTACAAAATTCCTTCCCTTCAAAACCACACCTATTAATTCTTTAAAATATTCCTGTTTGAAAGAGTAACAGTCCAACCACACATAAAACAAGTAGGAAAATAAACTCAACTTCTGCAATTACCTGAAAAGCAGAAAGATACAATGCAAAGAGCCATGGCCAGGTTGGGACCTGGATTCTGGTGCCTTCTAATAATTATCAGCTTGAGATCTTGGACAAACTTCAAATTCATCATAAGTAAATAATAAATTTTAAACCTGGCCATCTGTATTATTACAGCCAGGTATATAGTAAATGGAAGAAAACAGGGCTTGGTAACTTCAGAAGTTTGAATCTTGACTATTTTGTTCCTGATCTCACAGAAATGAATTAACTTTTCTAAACCTCAGTTTCATCAACTTAAATTACAATAATAATGAGATCTAGTCTAAAATTCATCACATAATAGACATGAAACAAATTTAAGTGTGATAAATGTGAGCTATGTCCTTTGAAAAGAATAAGCATTATATAATGAAAGTACTTCACTGATACCAGTAAATATTGATATTGACAGAATTACATTTGCCGAAAGTTGATGCTTTTTCTAAGTGATAAAAATGGGTATTGGGGGCAGTAAGTTGATTCTATATCTAAAACTAAATTTCCTCTCTTCTCTCCCATAGAACTTCTATTCTGTGTTGCCACAAAGAAAATTAGTATAAATGACAGTTTTGAAGTTACTCAAGCCAGAATCCTACTGCTCCCCCATTCCTTACACACAGTTGGTCATCAAGAATGCTCACTATTCTAATTTCTAGCATCTCTATAACAAAGGCACTTCATTTTTTTTCTCACTGCCTTAGCTCAGACCTCATCATTCATTGGTAATTTTCAAACTCTAGCATGCTTCAAAATCATCCGCAGAGCCTTGAAAATGTGCAAAAGCCCAGCCACCATGCGAGAGATTCTGATTCAAAAGGTAAAAGTGAAGTACTAATGACCTAAAGTACAACTACTTAAAATTTGAGAATCAATGACTTAACGTGACTGCTTGAGCCTCTTAACTGGTCTCAGTGCTACCAGTTGCCCCATTTACTTCATCCTTTGCAGAAAAGCCATGGAACAAGGCATAAAGTGTTCAAAGTCTGGGCCCTGCCTATAAGATTCTTCAGTTTTAGCTCCCACTGTTTGGATCTCAGACTCAAAATTCCAGGCATATTCACTACTTGTAGTTCTCTGCCACTCCATGCCTCCATCTTCCAACTCCTTGTGGAGACTCCTACCTATTTTGAGCCTAGCTCCAGAATATTTACACTATAAAGTATTACCTGGCATATCCAGATACGACAAATTATTCTCTTAGACATGCCCCATGTTCCTTTATTGCACATACCACATTGTCATTGCCTAGACAGTGACATGATGACATGACTGACCCTACTCTTCAGGTACTCATTGAGGTACTCTGTACCTCAATGCAAACATTCTGAAGCTATGTAAGTTCTTGCCAATAAAGTGTAATTTTGGTTCTCAGAACATTGATCACAACTAATATTTGATTATGAATGTCAATGAAATTCAACTGAATAAAATCCTAATGAGCAAACTATTAAAATAATATACCGATTTTAAGAATTACATTTTGTTTCAGGTCTCACTTCTGAGCTCTAAATCTGTATAAGCATCCAGAGACTGAATTATTATCAAGAATATTTTGGAGAAAAGGTAGCCTTTTTAACAAATGGTGCTGGGAAAACTGGAAATCTATATGTACCCCTATCTCTTACCCTGCACAACAGTCAACTCAAAGTAGACAATACCTAGGAATTAGACTAAAAACTTTGCAATTGCTAGGGGAAAAAAATGTAGGCTCAACACTCCAATATGCCAGCCCAAGAAACAACTTCCTTAATAAGATTCCTAAAGCACAAGAAATAAAACCAAAAATCAATAAGAGGGATGGCATTAAATTAAAAGGCTTCTGCACAGCAAAGGAGAGGATTAAGTTGTAATATTTGAAGAAAATCATGTAATGAAAGCAGAGGCCAAGAGGAAGCAAGAAAATGTAGTCACGGATGCTGGGAAATGATTTTATGGAGAATTCAGCAAAAGCTCTCCCTGATAAGCACAGAATATCTAAAGGAGCCAGAAGAAGAGAATTATCCCTGAGGAAAATTGATATTTGTTGACTTGACTAATTGATTGCCAAAAGATTCTGAGTTCATCCTTAGAAAAATATCCGTGGTGTTGACTGAGCCAACAGGGGTCTTTGAAGTTAAATAAACTCATTTTCAAAAGTCAAATACAGAGGAAATTACTCATAGCTTCCTAAGTTATCTGATATGCAAATAAAGCATATATTAAGGATCACAAACCTGCCTGGATAAAGCCAGCCTGTTCTGCATTTTCAGACTAGCAGCATTCTACTATCTCCTCTGATTTGATGGGTCATTTGCCTGGCCATACCAAAGTAGGGAGGAAATCTTTCAAGATTGTTTTTATCATTTTGGGAAACAGTTATAAAGTTAAAGACACCTTGACTGCATCAGAGTCTTAACAAAAAAAAAAATGTAAACTTCAAAAAAAATCTGTAAAATATAGGTGCAAGAGCCATTCCAAGATTTAACTGAGAATGTTTGACAGGTTGGCAACAAAGACCTCTAAAGTAACTTCCTGTTCATTCCTCAATTCAAAACTCATACTCCTGTGGCATGCTTCTGTAGCTTGGGAGAATGAGTTTGGTCAGTAAGAGTTCTGTACTTGTGACCAGCACATTGAAAAATTCCTATAATCACTGTATTAAGTAAATATGCAGTTAAATGGACTCTGTGGCCATTATTAGAACTGTGCAAATCCTTGGAGTCAGCAAAATAATGTTTTTCGGGATTACATGTCAAACAATTGTCTATATTTACTCTATTTGAGCTAATGTTGAGACAGGAAGAGACCAAAAAAAGTTAATTGTTGCTTCCAACAATAGCACCTTGGCAAGAAAAGAGATAAATACGACTCCAATTTTCTTCAATCAAATGTGTATTAACTTCTTGTTGGTCTCACCAAATTGTGTAAAATGGTATTAGTATACTAAGAACAAGAAAATAAATCAAATTAAGGAGAACTTTTATATTCAATTATATTCATTGGTTTAAGAAATTCCTTTTATCAATGAGACCCATTTCTGAAGACTATCCTCCAACTAGGGAAAAAAAAAAAAACTAACCATGAGCTGGAATCCTAGATTTAGTAAGGCTGATTATCTAAGAGATGAATAAACTACACTTCTTGATAAGAGCCAAATGGAATAGAATTTATCATTGAATCCAGTTGCTAAAGATTTAAGAAACTGAATGCTTACATAACTCCTGTATCTTATATTTTTCTGGAGAAAGGTAAAATCTAATTTATCTACAAATAATAAAAACTAAATCATGAACATCACTCAAGTCTATGGTGGGATTTACAAGACATAGAAAGAACTGATTTGTTGGAGAGTTAAGAAATGGATACAGAAAGGTATGCACAGTTAACCACAGATCTTAAGGAAAAAACGCTTCAATTAGTTCTCTTTTGCTAAGATGAAATAAAAATAAAAAGCAGGATGTAAAAACTACAACCACATGATATTATTAGCATTACAGCAATAACAGTAATATACCATTCTTTCCTTTGAATGTGGTCATGTGCTTTGTTTTCAACAAAGGAAATAAGATATGTAACAGCCAAATGCAGCTTTTAAAATACTGCCATAAAAGTTAAGGACCAGGCAGGACCATCTATATGAAAACATCATAATAAGAAAGTTCATAAGGAAAAGGAGACTTTTTATCTGCTTCTTTCACAATAACCAACACTTCCTTAATCTCTGAGCCATATTTCTAGAGTCCCTCAAGTTATTCTGACTTAGCTATGTTCATCATCTTAGGTTTCGTGTCCACCAATTTATCAACACATAGTTACCATAGACAGAAAGTCTGTGGGTTTCAACTTGTTAAGTAAACTGTTTTCTTGACAACTCAGTATCAAATGATGAATACTGCTGCAAAGTAAAGAATCTGAGCCGGTGCAATAGCAAATGCCTATAATCCCACAGACTTGGGAGGCTGAGGCAAGAGGATCACAAGTTAGAGGTCAGCCTCAGTAACTTAGTGAGACCCTGTCTCAAAATAAAAACAAAAAGAGCTGGTGATATATCTCAATGGTAGAGGGCTAGTAATCAGAGAAAAAAAAAAGTAGAGAATCTGTGCCCCATAAAAAGCCATAGTTCCTGCTCAATTGAATCTAGTACAGTAGTTGCCAACTAAGGATTCACATCTAATGTTGCTATATTTTCTTCTTTTTCAAGAGAAACTAGAAATTTAGATTTTTATGTGAATTTGCCTAATTTTTAAATGTAGACTAAAAATGTTTGTGAACACTTTGTGGGTTTTAGCCTCCTATGGGCCACTAATCTTCATCCTCTTAGTGTATGAAGGCAATCTTCTGTGTCTCTGACGTCTTCTCCTTCCTGCTCTAGGTCCTCTTCCTAGCCCAGTCCCTCTCTTACAAAAACAGACTTTCTTGATATTCATTATGGATGTTCTCACTCCTCTGAACCACCAAACCACTTTACTTGCAATCTTCTACACCACTTACCTACATTGTCTTATACCACAGTATCCTATGTGTATTTAATATCTCCCATAAGGAAACAAGTTCTTTATATCACT